CAAAAGAAGATGGCCAAAACCACTGCTGATACGAGCTTTGTTGATCCTATCATTTCGAATTACTTCAATGAATTTAGATAACAAGTTCTGTGTTTGATTCACACTTTGCTAAGCTTACTAGAAATATGTTGATAGTTGCTGAGTTCTGGCTTTATATAAGGCTTCATTGTTATGCATTCAAAGACAAGACAATAATTATTATTATGTAACTTGTGACATCGGATATGGACAACATAAGTAGTTAATCACTTTGTCGACGGGCATACCGTTTTATGTAAGAAACTTCCACCCAAAGGTTAGATAATAAAGGTCATCATGACCAGTGTCTATTGTATTCATTGAAGTAGGTGTCAGGAAATTTTGCACAGATATTTAAAATGATTGGTACTATATGTCTGATACAAACATAATTTATGGTACAGGGGATGAGGGTATATTGTAGGTTAAGGACGGGTCAGAGAATTAATACAATTTATGTGGATATTAATTGTAAACTTCATATGTATTAAATGCTATGGAATGATTAAAGTCATGATTTAGTTTTGATACAAAATAACATCATCAATTGATGATTATATGTAGGCTAACACAAATCTAGGTTGTATGTTCCTATATTCGCACAATTATTTGTATACATTGGCATGCACGTAAAAGAAGCATTGACAGCTGAAATTCGAAATAATAGTAGATCGTAGCGGCTGATTCAAAGCCCCCCCCCCCCCACACACACACACACACACATACACTGTACACTGCATGGCGTCAGCCGATTTTGAAAATGTACACCTCAATGTTAAACAACAATGTTTTTTATTCGATACCTAGTTGGTTCTATTTTATCTTACGCATGTCTTGTATGGGGCTTCGATAAATCGCCAGACATCGAACGATTGCATCTAAAATTTTGCAAAAGATCCCTATGTGTAAAAAGATCCGCCCCAACACCAACAGTCTATGGTGATCTTGGCAGAGTAAGGCTTCGAATTACACGCCTTCAACTTATATAATTAAATATTGGATACACATTATTTCAAACTTGTCTTATTTTATCAGGTGTACAATACTATTCTTCACGATGTGTCCATGACGAATAAAAAAGGCTTTAATTGAGGGTATAATATAAAATGTTTATTGGAATCTCTTAGATTCGCCTTAGTTTTCGGTGATCAATACGTTGTTTTACCTGTATATGAGTAATATGACGAACTTAAGCTTAGAATAAACGATCAGTATTTACAGGAATGAAATGAAGATCGGTCGAAATATTCAAAACTTAATTATTATAACCTTTTCGCCATGGCCTTATCACAAAAAGAATATTAATTTTATCAAATATCTTAAATCATAATTACTGTGTATCTCTATCCAAATTTAGATGTGTATCACATAACTTGCTAAACGAAACGGGAAGATACGACAAAATTACCAGAGATGATAGAATTTGTAATTTATGTAATTCAAATAACGTTGAAGATGAATACCATTTTTATTATAGAAATCACCCTTCACTCCAAACATTTGTAGATATTAATGTCTTCTACATCACCAGTTATTTTAAACTCATTAGCAAAATATATACATTTATCATTTATTAAACGTCAGTTTATTCAATATTCTTCCCTAGCATTGTAAATACTTTTCTAACTTCGTTTGTGCTATTTGTATCATTAAAACCTTTACAATTCATACGTATTTGCTATAAGTTATGTAACTTTCAGCCATAAAATAGTTACTACTTACTTACTTACTTACTAGGCCAGTCGGTGCAGAAATGTAGGACGTTAAACCACATTTCATTCCATTTAGGATCTGTCTTGTGCCATTAACACAAGTTTATATAACTATTGTTTTAAAAATAATATTTTTCTCAATTGTGAAATTAATTAAGTATATTTTGTTTCGTCTGTAAAACCTCACTATTTTATTATAGACTTAATGTTCAGTGACTATGTATAAATTCCTTCCATGTTGTATTAAATTTCGAAAGCGCGAATTTTGTTCGAATTTTTAACAGATTTAACGCACGCCAAGTCAACACAACCAGGTCATTTTTGGCTAACGTGGAATATTAAAGTAACGATGCTTCATTTGCGGTGATGACTGATCGACTATTGACCTCTCGAAATATTGCCTGTGTTGTGGAGATCTCTCATTAGAGGGTTGAACACATTATCGCCAACGAGTTAGCAATGACAAAAGTTTCTTCAAAATGGGTGGGTGCCAAAGCTCTTGATTGTGGATGTAAAACAGGTCAGTTTCCTGACCTCCGGTGACAATCTGAGCCGTTTTGAAAGAAATCCTGATAATGTTTTGGCCCGATATGTTACCATAGATGAGCCCTGGATTTATCACTTTCAAGCAGAATCCAAAAATCAGTCTAATAAAATAAAACCAAGTACGAACAATCCAAACCATTCGACAAAATTCAAAGTCCCCAAAACGGTATCGGTAAAATAATGTAATCAGCAAATGGATTGTTCACCATGTACAAAATATATGTCCGGAAGAGTAGGCTTACCCTTTCAGGCGCCATAGCTGCATCCAAACCTCGGTAAAATAGGCTAATCAGCAAATGGACTGTCCATATGGATAATGCACCTGATGAACAGTGGTAACAAATGTCGTAAAAGAATTAATTGAAACAACCCGAGTCGCCAGTCCCCCCAAAAAAGCCAAGTCGGTCCCTTCTGCTGGAAAGGTGATGGCTTCAGTCTGTTGGGATTCCAGGGGTATTCTGCTGATTGACTATCTTACAAATGGCTAGACTATCAATGGAAGATATTAATATGCTGACCTACTGCGAATGTTCACTACGGGCGTCCTGTTCAATCAAGACAATGCTCCTGTTCACAAATGGGTGATTGCCATGTCAGCGATCCATGATTGTGGTTTCGAACTCATTGTCTGCCACTTATTTAGGGTGACATCCAGGCCTTGCATCATCCTTGGCAAAAGTGTGTACACTTCGATGGGGGACTATGTAGAAAAATATATGGAAACCGGTGTCTTTATACAGGTCTTGTACAGATAGGCTTAGAACGTTTTAGTCCGCGCTCGTTCAAGCCCCTTTAATATCATTATATTTTCAGATATGATACACATACACAACCTTTAATAGCTCAAAGTTCACTATAAATGTTCAACTCTAATTTTGGATGTTTTTGTGTTTATAATATTTAATCTACATTATTAATTTAGGAAACCGCAGCATAACCAGAGTGTCCCTAAGAAGTAAATATATTTCCTTATTTGATTTTAAAAAGTATTTATTCAGAATTCTTACATACAACCATGAAGGGAATAATATGAATAATTAATTGGATACAGTAACAATCAACTTAATGCTTATATAAAACTGCTTCCAGAATAGGGGGATATGTATTTAATTTTAATGATCAGCTTGTAATGTAATAAAATTTAATGATTATCTATATTAGGGTTTTAGTTAATTTTCTTATTTCTATATCCCATGAACATAATGTGCGTATTGTTGTTCTATAGCACGAAAACGAATATGGAAACGCCTCTGTATGTTTAAGCTTAATTAAAGATACTCTGTGAAAGATGTAGACCAAGGGCGGGCCTCTGTTCATCTATATAAACAAAATCAAGGATGTCTGCGATATCACTTCTGTAGAAGCAGACGTTAAAGCACCAGGTAGTGTCTGTGTGTATGTATGTACGTATGTTCACCCATCACGCTTCGTCACCGCAATCCACCCCAACAAATGAGGTTTCAAAATAACCAGCATGACCCCATAAATGTTTTAGGCCATGATATATGAAGGCCGGGCATCCTACTAGTGCTATAATAATTCAAAAATATGTAGTGAATAATAAATATATCAAATATTTCAGCCGAATTACTTTATACTGATCTCCACCTTATTAGTGTGCAGATTATGATGGACACTGTCTAATCCACCCAATAACTTAAATATCAGATGGCTGACAGCGTCGCTAGTAGGTCTGTCGCGTTCTAAATAATAATTTTCGTAACATTTGAAGCCAGAAACACGCCAGGCAATTCCTTTTTAAACTGAATAGCTATGGTCATATCTAAATGTTAAAATGTTATGAAGAGGAAGATAAGTTAAACTACAGTACTGGCAATTTTTACTTTACTAGAAGTTTTTGAACTATGAAAACAAACTTTCACCAAGTTATTCTAAACCGTTCGGTTAAAGATTCCAATGGAAGAAAGGGGTTCTGGAGAAATCAATATATATCATGATAAAATTGTTCACTAAATACTCGGGGATTAGGGAGAATTGTCCCATATAATACTTTTGTATCTTTTCAGGTCATTCTTCTTCAGGGCAACCCAACATGCTACAAAGGTCCGTACAGTTTACTAATCCTGAAATGCCAGAGGCGGTTTACGGACAAATGCTATAGGAAATAGATATTAAGATAATTTTACCCAATAAAACCCCGTACGTGTGTGTGTGTGCGGGTGTGTGTGTGGGTGTGTGTGTGGCGGGTGGTGGGTGTAACCGTCATCCCAGAAGCATTACCACGTTTTTGTTTTACATTGTGCACAATCTTACAATTTAAACGCTTTCTGATTGATGTGGACGTGTGTAGTAACAGGCTTCAATAATGAGATATACCCATCCTTAAAAAAATCCAGTTTCGGATATATAGCAACATTCTTAGCATAAAAATATAAAGATAGGCAAGTCAGAAATCAATCATTAATATATTATGCTATTTAGAGAAGACATACATACCGCATTAAAATGTAATAAAATCGTTGATTGATAGGAATGTCTATTTCGTAGATTAGAAAACAACGTGATGATAAAGACAAGAAATTCCGTAGAAATGCCTTTATTTTTACCATTGCTGTATGACGCTTTGGGCAAAACAATAATTACAGGCACTTAACGATCATAATTACCCAATCAATTATCGAGTGGGTGTTGTTCTTTTTAACAAGCAACACATACAATAAAACTACCAACGTGAAGTTGTCGAAACATTATCCAAATTGGTTGCCTCAGTGATAGGAGTTTCAAATAATAAGGTAAGAATTACTTGAATTATATTCAAATATATTACATGGGGTATTCTTTTGGAAATTGCAACGTTATTTTTACTTTACAGATTTGGGGTAAAATCGGGATGTTTTTTGGGGGTTTTTTTGGGGGGGGGGGATAGAAAAGACGTGGTGATGAAGATGTCTATCAGTGTTTCATTTCAAATAAATATGGTTTCATTTTTTTATCGGACATAAGTGGAAGTGGAAGGGTGGGCGGGGGATTGACGCGGGGGGACGAGAAGGGCCTAAATGGCGGTAAATACGTTTTGGAAAGTGTTCTGCGTTTAAATTGGCAATTGAAAAAATCAGTGAAAAACAACATGTATATTTACGAGCTTATTTTATTTCAGTTATCATGGACCATTTCGTTCTGCGTTGCTTAGTTTTGGTGGCTTCTGTCCAGGCACAGTTAGACATCGGTGCCAGATCAATGAATGTTGTTGATAATTCATGGGGAAAACAGAACAACATACGAGCTAAATCTTCTTTCAAAATTGACAAACCTGGGGGGCTGATTGGTAAACAAAGTTATCCAAGTTCATATTCAAAAGGTAAGTTTAAAGCAACCCCCCCCACCCCAAAAAAAAACAAACCAAAACCAAAATAAAAAACAATCAATGGACTAATTTGGTATATTTGATGGCATGTAGGCCTCGATGTACTTCTAAGATTGTTTGTGTATTTTTTTTATTTTTTCACTGTTCTTTTGATCAGATCTGTGGCGACGGGTGGGTGCAAATATTTAGCGGTTAACTCGGGGATTTTTTCAAAAAAAAAAAAAGAATATTTTTATTAAGATTTGTATCTGAATCAGGATTGGGGAACAGGCATAACCTATATTACCCCCCCCCCCCCCCCGCCCCGCCCTTTCCGATTAAGATACACGTATTTATATTTTATCAATAAACAAACAATGTACAAGTAAAAATATAACTACAATGAGTGTGTTCTAGTTGTCCATGGTACCTTCTGATGAGTTCGAAAAACGAGTGGACAGTTTAAAAAATATTAATTGTGCTTTCTGTGTCGTCATTTCCGTGCAGTAAAATATAAATGTTTCGATTGGTGGACGGTAGATTATTTATGTTATTTCTGGCCCCGGAATACAAGGAGCAATTCAATAGAAAGTGTTCAGTAACTTCAAACTGATGACCACATTAACAGGATGTATTGTCAGAAATATCACGTAAAGATTTATGTCCATTGCTGCAAGAGAGACGCAGTTTACAGTGGATGATTTGGGATTACGGCAGGAAAGTACCACCGCGGTTCATGGACACTGCATGGTGTATGCTCGTCTTCATTAGCCCAATCGCCGCGGAAAAGTTTGACTTTAAACCGCATCTCTTTTATATTATAAAACATAATGTCGCCTTTCTTTCAGCTATGGTTAGAGCTTTGTCCTTCATGGCACATGGTATGTTAGATTTCTTTAAGAATATTATTGTACATTGTATACTCAAAGACTTTAAGCCACTCTGATTTCAAGCAATATATTGGTTTTAAAGCTAATAATGTTCTAAAATATTTTAACATCCCCATTAATAGAATACTGGCTGGTTAAATTTATTTATCTTACCCATTAGGACAGTTTAGTACAATACCCCTGTTTCACTTGATTATATATAGGAATGGGTATATTACAGAAATATCATGTAAGGGATTGTTCCATATCAATACAAGTCTTTAAACTAATGTTGATATATTTGATATAAAAACTGATATGAGATAAGTTTTATTCGATCTGGTGCACGCAAAAGAATACTTCACAGTTGGAACTTGAAATCAAAGTAGGCCTAGCGTCGCCGCCCGTGCAAGATTTCCCTTATATAACACTGCATGGCGTATGCCCGTCTTCAGTAGCCCAGTCGGTGCAAAAATTTAGGGCGTTAAACCCCATTTCATTTTAATTATTAAAAAGTAAAATAAAACAAAGCCATTAAAGAGCGTAAAATGCTCAACATTCTGAGCGTCATTGTTTCTCGGAACTATAAACCATTAGTTGTATATTATGTACATGTATTTTCATGTAGAATAATTGTAACATTCTGCACACAGAGAAATATATACTTTGAGAATTAACTTCTACCCTGAATGGCATTATATTCTCTTATGCAGTTCTAATCCTTTTGCATCGTTCATACACACAAAGACAAAATGAACATTTCCAATTCCATTCAATGGAAGCGATATAAATACCTCTCAATATTCTCTCAATATACTTGTTTTCGACTAAAAATGGTCGATGTAGGAATTAAAATGTCGGTCAATTAGCTTCGTGTCTGTTCTCAAGCGTATCTAATTGTAGATATGCAGCACAAGTTTTGTACGGAATTGTAAGATGAAAGTTAATTTTAAGGTAATTATTTCTAGGTAATGTTATATTAGAACAAGATGACAATGCTACACCACAAAATCCTTATGGTAAGTTAATTTTTTACACTAATTACTTTTACGGACAACGATGAGAAAATTGCATGAAAAAAATAAAAAATTCGTACAATTTAAAACAGCTACTGAAAAACATATCAAACTCTATTTGAGAATATATTCAAATTTACAACTTCCATTCCGGAGATCTTTTCAAGGCCCCTTTCCAGATTACAACCAATTACCCACTATTAATTTGTTTACACTGTCGATTTGTTTCCTAATTTTGGTTGATAAATCCGATAACCACTAATGAACGCCTTATGCCCCAGAGGATAGTTACTCTTGATCTGTTTGAAAACAAAATGATCTATTGTGCCTACTTACGCTACGAATTTCCCCATGTAGCAGAATAATCCTAAATATGTTATAAATGTTTGTAAATATTACGAATTATTTTTAAATAGATGATAGCTATATTATGATCAGTGAGAATGGCAAAAGCGTTGAACTTACATACAGAGAAATAACCAGAATTAGTAAGTAAATATTAATGTAGACTTTCAAATTTAACATTGGCATGTCATTCCGTGTCAAATCACCCAATGGGGTAAAACGTGCCCACTTCGATTTAGCGGAAATTTGGTGTATCAGCAATTTTGACCAAATCTGTACAGACCTTTGGTCATTTGAATATGGGGGGGGGGGTGGTTAGCGCGTGCACGTTGTATCATAAGGACTGTCATTCAGTCAACTGGCGTTGTTTCGATTCCACGAATGTACATGACAAGGAGTAGGGTCGCTTATCCAGCCTAGTGGGTTTTCTCCGGGTCCTCCCGCTTCCTCCCACTGCTAAAGACCCCTACGCGCAAGCGAATTATTGAAATAAATTTGAACCATGTATTAGTCCCGATATGAACTAATTTCTGTCGAGTGGACGTTATCCCCCCCCCCCTCTCTCTCTCTCTCTCATTTGAATATTGGCTTTTATGCCTAATTTGTTCGAAAGAGTCGTATCTCAGGGACTGTTATTTGACAAAATTATGGATAATTGAAATTTTAACAAGGCTGTGTAATAATACCTACAAGAAAGCAGTATAATTTTCATTGGATAAACATTTTTTTATTTAATCATATAATTTTTGGATATAATGTGTAGAGTATGCATATCTATAACATATAATTCCTTGTTGGTCACTATTTGCAATACTTTGGGTGATATTGACAAAACAAGCGTCTTTCCGTTTATTATCTGTTCCTGTCGGTGATTAGTAGGACCTCCAAATTCAGAGTCACCTATCAATAGCCTTTGTAATCGAAGAAGTCGACTTTATTGAGATCTTTTTTCAAACTTGCTATATGTTTCTTTGTAGGAAACCTATCCGAATTTTCTTTGGCTCTGTGTGAGTTTCACGGGATTTTCCGGTCTGGTGTCTAGTCGTTCGGGTGGTACAAAAACCGAGGTCCTGTGTACACATTCGCGTGCACATAAAGAACCATTGACAGTTGGAATTCGACATAAGAGTTGGTGGTAGCACACTGTATGGCGTATGGCGGTTTTCATTACCCCAGTCGGTGAGGAAAAGTAGGACGTTAAAGCCCGTTGCATTTCATTTTGTTCTCGGTAATCACGCAGGAAATCGGATGAAGATCATCACAGATCGACAACTTTATACAACCATCGTGTATTAGCATGTTATTTCATTTTTGTGAATAAATGTGGCTAATATCATATTGTTAAATTTGTCAACTTCACCGGTCGTAAAGATTTCCAACCATGTCAAATTAATCATTATTATGGTCCATACTGTATTGGAAGTTACACGTTATTTGATTTTGATTAACGTTTTGAGAACTGTGCCCGGAAAGTAACATATAAATAGTTGTAGATGAATTATTTTTGTCACTTTTGTCAATTTTATGAGCCGTATTGGACTATAGCTCATTGTCGAATGATCAGAATTGTGTCATTGATGAATGATATTTTTATGTTTGGTATAACGTGGACGCTGGCACAACCACCTTTCCCCTCATTTTATTATTATATAAAAAGTGCCTAATAGATTGTTACAATGATATATCGCGACTGTCGATCTCAAAGTCTGTCGTCTGCAGGATTGTCAAGGAAAATATCAGTTGTTTCGGATATGACGACAAACTGGGGTCAACCACGTAAAATAGTGCTTGGCAACTGGACTCGAAAACGCCATTATGTTGGCAAATAACCATATGTTTGTCTCATAATGACCTAAGTAAAGACTGAACATTTATCATTTGTTTATAAACGTTCCTCCGCTGATGTTGAATTTTCTTAATGGTCTTTAAGATGCATTATGTTAGAGCTATGTAGATATTTTTTCTGGCTTCAAATGTTGTTTGAATTATTATTTAGACATTTATTCACACGACAAGCACATACTCAACTCTCTTGACAATCAAATGGCTTGGATATTAGATCATTCGCGCCATTTAATCGGTTAACGCTATTCATAACTTCGCTCAGAATATACAGTAATTTGACTGAAATTTTCAATACACATAATGCATCTTTGATGACCACTGACTCTTCTTAGTAATATTATTAAAGATACTCAAAACATTTTATTTCTATTTTAGGGGATGTTAACCACAGATTAAATTCAATATTCGCGACTGATGTTGGGGCTGCAACTCCAGCAATCACAACAGTTATACAAGGAAATCAAATTCAAAGTACGAATTCGGCTATCAACCAAAATATGGAAAATGGCTCTGGTACAAGATCTGGAAGGGGATCCGTCTCCATAGGTTTCGTTTCAGGGTCTAACTCACAACAAAGGAGTCATCCACAATTTTACAATCGGTTTGGAATTAATCCAGGACGGATTCTAGGATTCCGTGGACTTCCCGGTTTACACTTCAGACAGTTACCGTTTGGTCGTTTCCCACACATGCTGCCACCGCACTTTTTAAACCCGTTTATGCGACGGTTCGCGTTTTGATCTCCTGGTTTTATCATGTAGGTAAGTCATGTTCAATAATTTAATTATTACAAATCAATTATGATACGAAATGTAATATATTTACATTCAATGCGCTGAGAAGTATAATGTGTACTTTCTGGGGAAATACGGGCGAGTGGGTGTACGAGTGCTCTAACGCGCGGTTTAGATCATAAGTTCTGTCATTGTGCCAAGTGGTGTGGCTTTCGATTCCAAAGCTTGTACATGACAGGGAATGCCCCCCACCCACCCCCACACACTACGCACAAGCGAATTATTGAAATAAAATTGTACCAGGTCAGTCTTGGAATGACTTAGTATGTGTCGAGTGGGCATAACAACGAATCTACATGTGTTACCCGCGTTACATTTTCCACAAATGTATTTCATTTACATAACTAATACATGTACATGTATGTACAAATATTAATATCTTTATTTTTGTTTATTTTTCAGCTCTTTACGCCTGCACGCCCCATCACCACTTGTATATCATAGTTAAATTATTTAATGCCTTGCCATTTGTATATTTATAATGTCACATGCCGCCTCCCATTAAAATATATGTTACCTCTAAATTGGCGTTTATCTCTTTGACGTAAATATTTAAATCTATCTGTCATGATATGCCAAGAAAGGTGTAGATAAACCTGAATGATTTGCACAATGCGTATGGTGAGATTTAACATGTACGTATAAGTAATTTGTCACAACAATAACCTAAATATGCCACAACATGTCTGTCCTGCGGCTGATAGAATGACACTTGTAGAAATTAAATGCTAAATTGAGAGTAGTCTCATACATTTATTTCTATTATTAAGAGACAGGTGAAATCGGTTTGCAAGCCTGTGTGTTAAATAATACCCGAGCTCTTATTATTACTTAATCAAAAGCTATTTAGAGATATCATTGTTTGAATACTAAATTAAGTGACCATATGTCATCAACTACTCTATTATTTCGTTGATGGGCATTTAGGAGCAGGCAAATATATGCCGACCCCGTGACCGGTATTCATCCAATCCCCGGTGCCGTCTCTGGCTATGTAGGGGTAAAGTTAGTAACCCTTTATGTTTTGATAGTATATGCGCAGGTGTATGGATATAAGTACAGATATAATTATAATTAAGGTAGCAACAATGTAAGGCATATGCATCAATGATATTTAGAAATAATGTTAAAGTGGAAACGTGCAGACCACTCGATCAAAGATCACGTGTAGAAATGGGGGTTTAACTTCCTACTGTTCTGCACCGTCTGGGCTAATAGTGACGGTTTTATGCCATATACATTGTGTTACGGCTTACTATTATTTCAAATTCCATCTGTCAAGGGTTCTTTTACGTGCACGCCAATATCTACACGGGACGTCGGGTTTTCGTCCCATCCGAACAACTAGCCATTTCCTTGCCACGCCCTCCGTCCTGCAACATGTGTTCATTTTGAGGCCATGTTTACAAAATAAACACACCTTTTTTTAGGGGAAGGGGGGGGGGGCTCAATAGGAAACTATTTTAGAGATTTTGTCCGGTCAACATAATTGGTTGTAATCTATTGTGCCAAGATGTATTCTTTGATTATGATTTTTCTTTTAAATATAAACCAATATGTAACTGGGGAGGATGAGGGTGGTCGTAGTTTCATCCCATCCGAAGAACTATAGATACGTTCCTTGTCAGCCCCGCACGTTCTAAAAAATGTATATCATAAATAAATATGTGATTTATTAATTTGTATATGTGTGTGCCAAATAAATCCATTTATCTACAATAATGACATTCAAAAGGCATTTGTGTGATATTTTCATCCAAGGGACCCATGTAAGCTTAATCCGGCCCTGGAGCAGAGTTTGACCTAGGCACTTTAAGTGACTAAGGAAAAGTCCACCTGAGCAAAACCAATACGTTGCAAAACACTCCTGAATGACAAATTGAATCAGTACATTAGTCGTGGACGATATTTCACAACAATTTAAAAAAGAACATAACAGAATACAACAAAGATATTAACCACCAGCTGTTGTGGCTGTTAAGATCTCGGGTCAGGAACAATGAGATACTTCCTTGCTGGGACTAGCCGAAAAACTCCCAGCAAGTTTGAAAAATGTATAGAAAATTCTGGCTTGTTCAGCATTTATAAGGTTACGCTGACATGGACTGTAATTGTGAATTTCGATAGGGTTCTTTCTTACGACTAGTCAAACAATTCTATTCAGATTAAAACTCAGATCTGTAGAATGTTTGCAAGGTTTCCGTCACAATGATAGTACTTTAGCGAATAATAATGTTGACAAGATGAACAGACTGACCGACAGGTGTGACGACAATCAATGCTCTACCGACCTTAAAATATATAATAATTCATTGTTCATCCAATCAGTCTTATACATGAGAACTTCAACAAGTTCCGTTGGCCTCGCTTTGCAGAATCTTGTCAGCACTTTAACACCAAAAGTCAACATCTGATGTACTTGGTATTTACCTTCCCTGTTTCGATTTTACTGCGATGAATAAACTTTATTTGTTACTTGTTAATTGTCGAGTTCTAATATCTTATAAATCGTTCAATACTGTTTCCATTATACATATTTTAATTTGTATTCAACTTGTTAATCACAATTCGCCAATCTTTATGAAATTCTTGGACGACTTAGCTGTTGTGGGTGGGAGGCTTCGTTACCTACCTATATATAGAACACCCGATACCACTTCTCCCGTTGGGCTTTTTGTGAAAACTTTGCTAACTTCTACAAGCCACACACCAACATAATTTAATGCCGATAAAAAAAAACGTCATCAATCAGGTGAATAAATGCATTAACGAGGATATAAACGCACGTGTTGTGGAAATTACATAAACATGTTAGTTAATTCATCATTCTTTATAAGGATGGTTGTTGACAGTTGTGACAGCTCTATTGAACAGATATAGTGGAATCAATCACGAAATGAAATAATGAGATTGAATACATCAATATACTGTCATTGAGCCAAGTGGTGTGGTTTCGATTCCAAACTTGTACGTGGCAAGGGGTAGGGTCGCCTGCCCAACCTCTTGGGTTTTCTCCGGGTATTTGGTTTCCAATTATTGAAATAAAATTGAACCATATTAGACCCGAAATGACTTAGTTTAAGTTGAGTGAAAGTTAAACCTATCGAACTCTCCTCTCCCAATTCCATAATAGTTTTGAAATTTACATACATGGATAATAGTAAATAACTACGCCAAACAGCTAACACGTTTTCTGTGAGGAAACGCCTGCTGTAAACGATTTCAATCAAGGGAATTTGATGTCTCTATTCAATCTAGCACTTAAAGTCTCTGAGCGTCGTTTGCATTTTTCTGAAATATCCATTTTTTCACAGCTTAATTCACGTTATTGATTATTTAACATTTAATTAAGAAAACAAAATCAAAATATTTGGCTTGTATTCAGTCGGATTTAAAAGAGGTTAGCTTGTGTTGACTATATACTGTGTATCGTCTGTAGTGGAAGCCGAATTTTCAATTCATCATATCTTTGTAAATAGTGTCCTGAAATGAACCATTTTGGACTGATATTCCTTTGAGAGAATAAACCTCGTCTATGCTTTAGTTTGGAAGAGAGTCAAAGTCCTCGAATGACGATCAGAGATATCCTTAATTTAAGATAGAGAACCCACGAGGCTGGACAGATGGCCCTACTCCTTGTCACGTACAAGTGTGGGATCGAAAACCACGCCACTTCACTCAATGACAGACCCTTTGATCAAAACCTCACGGGTTGCAACCATTCTGAACTCTTCAAATTAGACGTGGTATCGTGTGTCCTAGAAATGAAATAAGGCTTAACGTCAAATGGTTTGGGTCTGGGTATCTGAAGTCTAAGACTACAGGTTAATAGAGAACATCTGGGTCATCGGCCACCAACACATTCAAGAGCCCAGTGGTCTAAATATATACTAAGCAGCAAAAGAAACGTCGGGTTGGTATGTTACTCTGAATAGACACATTGCATAGAACTTGCCAAATGTTTTTATTGTATATTTGTGACCACATCACCAACTTTACCTGAGCAAAAAGGCTCCTTCCCAAACACAGAATTGAACCCAGGAAATATTCTCAAAAACGCAACCTGACTTCTGAGATGGTAATGTGTTCTCCATGATTTTCATGTAACTCATGCTGCACGTGCTGTTCACCGGGACCAGCCCAATAAAATGCACCCACATACCTGGTTGAATCATTCACACTACAACGTCAGCCATGACTCACGACAGCTCAGAGGAACCAGGCGTTTGGAAGACTCGACCCTGGTCGCACTGCCCAAGCCGTTGCCAATCACTTCCAGGTGACTGTTCGGACCATCTACAGGCTTCAGCAACGCTTTCGGACCACCAACACCACGGATGATCGCCCCCGAACGGGTAGACCAAGGGTTACCACAAGGCGACAAGACCCCCATGCTGTGTAACAGCACGTGCAGAATCCCTTCACACAGGCATCTGAGACACCACGTCAGGCAGTGGGAACACACGGAAGACCCATCAGTACATATACAGTGCACGGACGTCTCACCAGAGAAAACATTCATTGCCATAGACCTTACCGTGGAGAGATCCCCACCCCTCGCCATCGACGTGAACGTCTACAGGTTGCCCAACAACACCATGACACAGGCAATGGAGAACTGTTCTGTTCACAGATGAGTGTCGGTATTGCATATCAACTGCATATTGCAGGACCCGGATATGGCGTCGACGTGGCCAGCGTTATTCTGACCAATAGGTCATGGATCGAGACCCATGGGGGGGTACAAGCATAAGGGTTTGGGGTGGAATCGGCCTGAACCAGGAAACGGGTACTGTGATATTCAAAAATCTTGGTCCAGGGAGAGGCGGCGGTATCACAGCAGTGCGCTACATTGATCAAGCTCTCATACCACATTTCGCACGTCATCGAAACAACGTTTTTCAGCATGACAACGCCCGTGTCCACACCGCCAGAGTTACTCTACAGCAGAACGGTGTCAACGTAATGCACTGGCCAGCCCTTAGTCCGGTCTTAAACCCGATTAAACATCTTTGGGATGAAATTCAGAGGAGACTTAACGTCGTACCGAGACCACACACAGGCTTTTCTGACGTTCATCAATCGTCTTGTCCGCTGCGCTGCTGTTATTGACGCTCGCGGTGGACACACCAGATACTGATGTATAGACTGTGTACAGACTCCAAACCTTCTCGTAATGTCTTGGAATCGTGATGAATTAATCACTAATGTGTCAACAAACTGTTCACAAAAAATTGATCGTTTTTTTAGAATGATTTGGTTAAAGTGCCTCTCTGATTTTCAAATCGTACTGACGTTTTTTTGTTTTTCTGCTGTTTAGTATATAATATTTAGTATAAAAAATTTTGTTCATCACTGGGGGAAAACCTATCATACATGTAAAATTAGGTAGTAGAATTCCAACAATGCAGGGAAATTGAAACTATACGTAAACAACATCCACCCGCAATTCATAAACAGGTGAAAAAGCGTCGTTTACAAATACCTGTTACTATAAAGTT